ATTAAAGATCATGAGAAATTTGCTGGCGTTTCATTTTGACTATAATGGTAATGTGATGATGATGATGAATTTTACTATATAAAAGTGTCATTTCCGGCCATCTCGAGAGGTACTATTTCCTCAAATTTTCTCACCTCAGCCCCGGCCATGGTGGGGCTTAGGTGGTTGTGAAATCACGTTTTTAAAGTAGGACTATGTAAAGTACATAATCAAAGACAATGTTTTGAAGCTTTGTTTTCTATGGTATACACACACACACATTAATAAGATCTCTATGGTTGTCAAAAATCCCTGATAAAAGATCATGAGAATTTTTGTTGGCGCTTCATTTTGACTAATGGTGATGTGGTGATGATGAATTTTACTAAAAGTGTCATTTCTGGCCATCTAGAGGTACTATTTCCTCAAATTTTCTCACCTCAGCTCCAACCATTGTGGGGCTAGGGTGGGTGTCGACTCACAAAATGCCCTCCCACCTCCACCTTTCAAAACAGATCTGTGCCCTTCCCTGGGTATCACATTTAAACTCCGTCGAGTCGGCTCCTCTTAGTGACTGCTGTTTGTTTTTAGGATGCGATCTGGTTTTTCATGTCCATTTTTCGTGATTATGACTATTCTGGATAAAGAATGTTTTGAGCAGAGGTGGATTCAAGGCACCCCCCCCCCACCTTAAGGGAAAAAAAAAGAAAAATATATTCAAATTGAAGTGCGATAGTGTAATTTCCGGCCATCTACAGATGCCCTAATCATAAATTTTCTTACCTCAGCCCCAACCATGGTGGGGCTGAGGTGGGTGGTTCCTCGGTCTGTGAAAGTCCCTCCCTGGTTCACCTCTCTTTCGAATTCCTGGATCTGCCACTGTTGATTTATTATATAATTATTATTTCGCTTATTTATAATGCGTCTATTGCAATTTTCACTTTATCCTCTCAAACACTCCTAAGAACGTTCAGAGTGCGCTACTTCACACGGGGATTTGACCCCGCCGGGGTCATACGTAATTCGCATAACGGCTCCCCCCCCCCCTTTCAAAATCCTGGCTACGTCCCTGCTCGGGCCGTCTCGACTGAATCGACTCGGGCCGAAAATCTCATAATTGCAGAATTCAGGAGGTCAAAAGGTCATCAACAGCTTAACGTACAAAATGCAATACAACTTCTAAGAGAACGTCGCTGTCTGATTTTTAAAAAATATGTTACCATGCTAATACTATGGGTAGTTTAAAATGACATATGATGTGAGCTGCACGAGTAATGGAAAGTGTTATTTGAACTTGAGTTAAATACTGTGAAAATTTTATTTATTTTTTTTTTTTAGTTAGATGTGGGTTTTGCATATTTACCTAGGCCTACTAACTACTAAAAATATACGCTTTCAGGGGAAAGCACAAAGAGGAAGGAATAGCGCGTTTCTTTATCAAATGAAACGGGGTGACAGTTATTTTCAAATTATGAGAAGAGTTGAGAATAGGCAGCTCTAAATACTGGATGCCAAAGACCTGCCAAAATGGCAGAGCACCAATGAATGTATAAATGAGGCCTAAGCCTAGTTATATGGTAAATAGTATCTGCAGGTTCTTGATTACAAGGCTAGACCAAGTTAATTAATGCCGAAATGATTATTATTTATTATTATTAGGCCTATTATTATTATTATTATTCATTATTATTATTAATTATTATGTTATTAAAACCTACCTTAGTAACTTAGACAATGGAGAAATTAGAGAACATTAAAAAAACAAACGACATTTAAGGGGAAATAGCACAAAAGATATTCTCTTGGGCTAGTTATTAATTATAGGCCTAGTAAATAGGTTATTGATTACAAGGCTTAGGCCAAGGTAATAATGCTGAAATGATTATTATTATTATTGTTATTATTTAACATTAATTACATTACAAGGATAGTTTGGCCAAGTTCAATAACGCCGGAATGGTACCGTATATTTTATTTATTACGGTATTATTTAATAATATTTCTCCTATATGCATTCTATTTTTTATTTCATGCTTCAATTTTTTCCCCTTTTTTTTTAAAATGTCAATCAACGTCATGTGAAGCGTGACTGTTGGTGTCAGCCTAGAGACTTAGTTAGGCCTAGTTTAGGGAGGGCCTATGGTAGGTAGGACTTAACTCAGCCTGCTTTAGGCCTGTAGTTTAGCTTCTTTCTGTCAGCCTTTGGTGTACGTCCTATCTACACTTTATAAAGGGGGGTACTAGCTGTTGTTGTAAATATTATACTAAAATTTAATAACATACAAGAAGGTCACAGTTAGTTACACACGTACATCCCATAAATCCGTAAGATTTCATAGGCCTACCGTAGGTAAACATAGAAAGAGCCATAAAAGTAAAACTCGAGCGTCACGACATTGCGAAGTGTCTGCTCTTGTTCCTCGTATCGAACTCGAGTCGAGTCAATCCGAGATGGCCCGAGTGAAGTTTCATGCAAATGTTTCGTACGGGAAAAAAAATCGCGAACAGTCGGGCCTATCGCATCGTACTTAGAACTTCCGCATGGCTATGGAACGCCGTTACTGCCTTTGGTGGCTCTTTTCCGTTCGGCGCATTTGCTATTCGGCCCTTTTAAGATTACGTTCGGTGCTTTTACATTACGTTCGGTGCTTTTTACATTAAGTTTGGTGCTTTTTACATTACGTTCGGTGCTTTTATCATTACGTTCGGTGCTTTTAACATTACGTTCGGTGATTTTACATTACGTTCGGTGCTTTTAACATTACGTTTGGTGCTTTGTACATTACGTTCGGTACTTTTACATTACGTTCGGTGCTTTTAACATTACGTTCGGTGCATTTGCCGCACTTCGGCTCTTTTATCATTTGGTGCTTTTACCTTTCGGCCCTATCATCATTACTTACGGTTCTTTTATCATTCGGTGCTTTCATGACCTTTGACATTGGGTCAAGTGGAAAAAATCAACGGCTGTGGGAACGAGCCTAGTGGAACTTGCGCGCTCCTTCTCTCTTTCTTCGTGTGGTGGCGTCAGAATAGCCAATTTAACACTGGAACGGAAGCAGTGCTTCCAAGAGTATGAGCGCATGCTCTTCTCACAAATCGGGACCTCCACTGCCGATCGGGTATTCTATCTATAAGCCTAACCTGAATCGATTAAAGTTTAAATATATTTACGTACATATGACCGGTATAGAAGAAACTTTGAATTATTATTATTTGAATTAGTTAAAATACAGGAATAAGAATTCTTTTGAAGAGAGACAACCATGCCGGTATTAAAAATAATGTATTGTATTTTGACTATAGAACGCAATCTGATTCTGTATAGTAGTAGGCTTACGAACTTTTCCTATCACTAGCAGGCCCTAGCATCAGTGGCGGGTCTTGAAATGGAAGGGAGCTGATGGTGTTGGGAAGGTAAAGTGGGGGATCGGTGATTATGAGGGGATAACTCGCAAAATAAGGTGATATGAGGTGATTTTTAATTACTTGAGCATGATTTGTGGGCGGGGGCGCAACTGAGGGGGGGATGGGCGAGTATTTT